ATACGGAGGGGAAGAAACATCTCGTGCTCTCCCAGCGATCCTGAATCCCACCGTGAAATCTCCCACCTTGTTAAAATCTCCCTCTCGTCCCCTGGCAGATCCTCATCAAAAACCTGAAGAACGAGATCACAAAGAAGGTGCAGGTGCCCAACTGTGATGAGATTTTCTACGCTGGCACCGGGAACCTTCTGCTGCGCGACACCGACTCCATCACCCTCTTCGACGTGCAGCAGAAACGGTGAGGCCCTGCCTGCTGGGGGAGCCTTCCAGACCCTAATCCTGCAGTTGGAAGCTTCAATATCCTAATCCTGCAGTTTGAAGCCCTCGGGGGACAAGTGGTGGCCGTTAATGCCCTCAGAATTCAGCCTCAGCTGCGTCGGGCTGATCCAAACCACGGCCAACAACTGTTTAGGAAGAGCAGAGCAAACACAGCCAAGGAGTAATTTATGCCACAGGCATCGTGCCACGGATCACAGGGAGATGTTTGGAAAGCCTGGGACTGCAGAATGGGGTGTTGGGAAAGGGGAGAGGCATCAAAAAGCCCAAACTCAATCAAGCCCAGCTTGTTTGGATTCGTGTCCTCAGGTTTTGTGTCTTGGCGCTCGTTTGGGCCCTGGCCACAAAGAACAGGCACAGGGTTGGTGCTTTTGGCCATCTTTGGAGGCTTCAGAAGGTTCTGGGTTATCTGCAGATAAATTATGGATTGATTGCATCCCAGAATTTACCTCCTTTCCCTGTTTTTATGCCTTGCCTTTCCATCATTGGGAAAGCGATGAGGGAATCCAACAATGCAAACGCTGCTTGGAAATCCCTGATTCCCCTCCTCCTGTCCCTAAAGCCTCTCAGAAACCTGGGGTTGGAAGTCAGTTGTCCCTCCAACATATTTGCTGTTGCTCAGGTACAGAGAAAGGTTTGTTTTGCTGCAGAAACCCCCAGTTCTGCCTCAGGATTTTGTAGCTCCGGGATGGGAAAAAGCAGCTTTGGAGCATCTGAAGTTGGGTCCAGGCTCTTGGGCACTGGGGGTTCTTGGTCCTGGAGCTTGCTGGGGTGGGGGTGTTCACCTCCTGATGGCAGTGCTGTCCCCCCCAGGACTCTGGCCTCGGTGAAGATCTCCAAGGTGAAGTACGTGATCTGGTCGGCCGACATGTCCCACGTGGCCCTGCTGGCCAAGCACGGTGAGTGACCCGTGTTCCACCTGGATCCTTTGGCACTCTGACCCCTTCCTTGGCTGGCATCAGCCCAGGAGAAGCTGTGGAGGTGCAGCTGAAGGCACTGGCAGTGCAGGCCCTGCCATTTTATCTCTGCACAGAACCGGATGATCTTCGAGGTCCTTCCAGCCCAAACCATTCCACGACCCTACAGTTCAGCTGTTTAACAGCAGAGGGTTCCCTTGGCCTGACTTTTGTTCTCCTTCCCTCTCCAGCCATCATGATCTGCAACAGGAAACTGGAGTCTCTCTGTAACATCCACGAGAACATCCGTGTCAAGAGCGGGGCCTGGGACGAGAGTGGGGTCTTCATCTACACCACGAGCAACCACATCAAATACGCCGTGACCACGGGGTGAGCCTGGGGCCAGGGGCCCTGTCATCCCCCAGCACAGGCTGGGACAGCACACACAGTGCTGGGGCTCCTCAGAGGGGCAGAACACGGGGTGGGGCCGGCCCGGGGGTGACCCTGGGGGTGCTGTGTTGGCCCAGGGACCACGGGATCATCCGCACCCTGGACCTGCCCATCTACGTGACGAGGGTGAAGGGGAACAACGTGTACTGCCTGGACAGGGAGTGCCGGCCCCGCGTCCTCACCATCGACCCCACCGAGTTCAGGTTCAAGCTGGCACTGATCAACAGGAAGTACGATGAGGTGAGGGGGCGCAGGGGCACGGGATCGTGGAATGGTTGGGCTGGAAGGGGTCGGAAAGGTCGTCCCACTCCACCCCTGCCATGGGCAGGGACACCTCCCACTGTCCCAGGCTGCTCCAACCTGGCCTTGGACACTCCCAGGGATGGGGCAGCCACAGCTTCTCTGGGCAACCTGTGCCAGGGCCTCCCCACCCTCCCAGGGAGGAATTTCTTCCCAATATCCAACCTGAATTTCCCCTCTGTCATTCCCCTTTGTCTGTCACTCTGATTCATTGATGAAATGTCCTGCTTGGAAGCTGGAACTCGCAAACCAAGGTGTAAAATATAAAGGCATCACTTGGCAGAGGGAGGGGGGGAAAGGAATGGGAGTTTTAAAGGTGCTGATAGGAGGAGTTTCTGGGGATGGAGCATCTATGAATGGAGAAGGGTCACCCCAAAAGCAGGATCAGCACGGGATGGACTCTCAGGGAAAAGGCACAGCAAAGGGAACGGTGTGAGGGAAGGACAGAGGGATGTTCTTCCCAGAACTCCTGCTGGGAACAGACCACAGGGCAAATCTTTCCAGTAAATCCTCCCCTGGGAGGGTGGGGAGGCCCTGGCACAGGTTGCCCAGGGAAGCTGTGGCTGCCTCATCCCTGGGAGTGTCCAAGGCCAGGTTGGAGCTATCTGGGCTGGTGGAAGGTGTCCCTGCCTTTAGCAGAGAGTGGCACTGGATGATCTTTAAGGTCCCTTCCCACCCAACCCATTCCATGACTTTTTGGAGCACTAGAGAGGGGTGGGAGCAGGCTCAGAAGTCTCTACCCAGCAATCCCCCCCCCTGCATGGATCTGCTTCCGAGCAGGATGGTTGTGCCTTGGAAACGAGGGCTGTTTTCTGTCATTCCAGTTGTTAAATCCCTGACTCACAGATTCAGACGACTCAGACATTTATACCTGAGAGTGTCCAGCCCAGGACCCCCCGACCCCCCTCCCTGACCCCCCTGGCCTTGGCACAGCTCCTTCTTTCTGCCTCTCTGACCCCTCTGCTGTGACCTGAGGGGGTTTGTGTCCCCTCTGCTGTGACCTGACGGGGTCTGTGTCCTCTCTGGGGTTTGTGTCCCCTCTGCTGTGACCTGACAGGGTCTGTGTCCTCTCTAGCTGTGACCTGACGGGGTCTGTGTCCCCCCTGGCTGTGACCTGACGGGGTCTGTGTCCCCTCTGCTGTGACCTGACGGGGTCTGNTGGAAGTGTCCCTGGGTTGGATATTGGGACGACCTTCCCAGTATCCATCCCCCTTGTCCTGTCACTCCCCCAACCCCGAGGGCAAAGGGAAGGTGCTCACGGGGCTGTCCTGGGCAGGTGCTGCACATGGTGAGGAATGCCAAGCTGGTGGGCCAGTCCATCATTGCCTACCTGCAGAAGAAGGGCTACCCAGAGGTGGCCCTGCACTTTGTCAAGGACGAGAAGACCCGTTTCAGCCTGGCCCTGGAGTGTGGCAACATCGAGGTGAGCGGGGGGTTGGTGGTGCTGAGGGGGAGGCACAACCTCCCTGCCAACCCTCTCTGTGTGCAGGGGGCAGGAGGAGCCTGGGGGAGAAGGAGCTGAGGGTGGTGGGGCTGGGGATGAGGGGCAGGAAGAAGAAGTTGAGGGTTGAGGTGCCGGGCTGTGGTTCAGGCGGTGATCCTTGTGATCAACAGAAGCCTGCAGGGAAATCTCCGGCCTGCCAGGCCTTGGTGACCGTGTCAGCTCTCCTCTTAGATTGCTCTGGAAGCAGCCAAAGCTCTGGATGACAAGAACTGCTGGGAGAAGCTGGGAGAGGTGGCCTTGCTGCAGGGCAACCACCAGATCGTGGAGATGTGCTACCAGCGCACCAAGAACTTCGACAGGCTCTCCTTCCTCTACCTCATCACGGGCAACCTGGAGAAGCTGAGGAAGATGATGAAGATTGGTGAGTGCCAGGGTGGTGGCAAAGGAGGTCCCAGGAGCACTCCCAGAGGGATTCATGGTGCAGGGCCAAGAGCAGCAAAGTTACTGTGGCTTTTTGCTCCTGGTGTAGCCGAGATCCGTAAGGACATGAGTGGGCACTACCAGAACGCCTTGTACCTGGGGGACGTGGCAGAGAGAGTGAGGATCCTGAAGAACTGTGGGCAGAGTGAGTAATTCCAAACTCAAATCTGTCCCTGTGAGCCGGGGAGAAGCTTTTGGGATGAACAATAAATTCTGGAGGTGGCTCAGAACGATCCCTCAGAACGATCCCTCACCCTGAGGAGCTGAACTGGGTGAGCAGAAAAGCTGGAGCAGCACCTCTGAGACCTGAATCAGCTGCAGACCTTATTCCAGTGATCACTCCTAAATCCAGGGACACCTTAGGGGTGTGATCCCACCCCCTGATGTCCTGCTGATCCCCCCTGTGTGTCTGTGTGTGCTGCTGTGGGACGTCTCTGGGGGACAGAGAACATGTTGTTTCCAGGGTGGTGATCAAAGGAGTCAGAGGTTGGACTGGATGATCTTAGAGGTCTTTTCCAACCTAAAGGATTCCCTGTGTCTAATTGCAGAGTCCCTGGCCTATCTCACAGCTGCCACTCACGGTCTGGATGAGGAAGCTGAAAGCCTGAAGGAAACCTTTGATCCTGAGAAGGAGACGGTTCGTGAGCTGATCAGAGCTCCTCGAGAGCTCTGGAGCTGGGCAGGAGGGTCTGGGGGCAGAGGGACAGGCTGGGAGTGGGGAACCATCTCCACATCAGGTCACAGGAGGGGATTTTCCTGAGGTGGCTTTCCCTGTTTCCCTCTCAGATCCCGGACATCGATCCCAACGCGAAGCTGCTGCAGCCTCCTGCTCCTGTCATGCCTTTGGACACCAACTGGCCACTGCTGACTGTCTCCAAGGGCTTCTTTGAGGGGACAATTGCCAGCAAAGGTATGGCTTTGTCCTTGGAAAACTTGGAAAGCTCAGGGGGGACCTTCAACTCCTCCCTGACAGGGGGGGCTGGAGGATCTTGGAGGTCTTTTCCCACCCAGATGATTCTGGGATTGTGTGAAATCTTTGACCTTTCAGCCCAAGCTGGGACTGGGCCATTAAAGGGGGGGTGCTGCCCTCCTGGAATTCTTTGTTTAGCACCTGAGGGATGAGTTGATGGAGGCTCCTGCCCCTTTCTTTAGGCAAAGGAGGTGCTTTGGCCGCCGACATCGACATCGACACCGTGGGCACCGAGGGCTGGGGAGAAGATGCAGAGCTGCAGCTGGATGAAGGTGGGTGCATCCAAGAGCTTTCCTTGGAAAAGCCTCTGGGCCTGTGTCGGGGCTCTGACCTTTCCCCCTCCTTCCAGATGGTTTTGTGGATGCTGGAGAGGGCTTTGGAGAGGAAGGTCTGGGGAAAGGGCAGGAAGAAGGAGGTGGATGGGAAGTGGAAGAAGATTTGGATCTTCCCCCTGAACTGGTAGGAGGCTCCTTGGTGGTTCCTTGGGAAGGCACTGGCAGCTGGTGAGGGAGGTGGGGGAAGTGTTTTCTGGGCTTCTTCAGGCTTTGTCCCCACAGCTCTGATTCCATCTGGGTGCTGGGAACGTCCCCACTAATCCCTGCTCTCTGCATTCCCCCAGGATGTTCCCTCTGGTCCAGCAGGAGCAGCAGAGGATGGATTCTTTGTGCCTCCCACCAAGGGCACCAGCCCAGCCCAGGTAATGCCAAAGCAGCTCTTGGATTGCCTTTCCCAGAAATTCTCTGTGTTGGTGATATTTTTTTTGGGGGGGTTCAATCTTTGTGAGCACAACGTGGGGATTTTGTTACAGGGACTCTGAGGGGTGGTGAGGGCAGGGCCCAGTGTTTGAGGGGTGGTGAGGGCAGGGCCCAGTGTTTGAGGGGTGGTGAGGGCAGGGCATGGAATTGCTCTTCCATGTGTTTCCCTTCCCTTCTTGCAGGTGTGGTGCAACAATTCCCAGCTGCCTGTTGACCACATCCTGGCAGGCTCCTTTGAGACAGCCATGAGAGTAAGTGTCCCCGTGGGCTTTCCAGGGATAAACTGTTCCCTTTCCCCTCGAGTTTCTGCCCCTGATCCACCTGAAGCTTCGTTTTGTGCCCTTTTGTGCCTCGTTTTGTCCTCGTTCTGTGCGGGTGTGCCACGAGCCGTGGTGCCTGTGCCAGCTTTCCCTCAGCACATCCATTGTGTCCCTTCCAGCTGCTCCATGACCAGGTGGGAGTGACCAACTTTGGGCCCTACAAGCAGCTGTTCCTGCAGACCTTTGCCCGGGGCCGGACGACCTACCAGGCGCTGCCCAGCCTGCCGGCCATGTACGGGTTCCCACACCGCAACTGGTGAGCACTGGGCAGCCCCTCTGGGCCCCTCCCCTGTGCCAGGGACCTCCCAGCTCCTGGGCAGGGGGAGCCACAGCTTGGTTTTTCCA